TATTTCTAAAACATATATCTACGATTTTCACTATAATTATATCAAGTCAACGTTCGGAGAACGAGCAAAATTACTGTATACCGTCACGGATAGTCTGTTGTATCATTTTAATGTCCCGGACATATACGAATGAATTAAGCGCGATTTACATAGGTTCGACACTTCCGATTATCCTCCGAATAACGTGTACGGAATACCTTTGGTAAATAAGAAAATTATTGGGTTAATGAAGGATGAAAATAATGGAAAAATAATGAGTGAATTTGTAGGATTGCGAGCTAAACTGTACAGTTTTAGAGTTGTAGGTGAAAGTAAAGATAAAAAGCGTGCGAAGGGGGTTAAAAGCTCCACGTTAAGGAAAATTACAATCAACGATTATTTCGAATGCCTTTCAAATCATACCGATTTAATTAAAAGTCAGAATTTCATTCAAAGCAAGAAACATACGGTATGCACGGTTCGTCAACGAAGAGTAGCATTAAGTTGGCGGGACGATAAAAGAATCGTTGTACCAGGTATGACTGACACTTTTCCGTGGGGGTACAGACAAAATGAAATAAATCAGTAAATGCGTAAAACTGCCTACCCTTTATTTTTTCATACCTTTTTACAAATCCGACTTACAAATCCAACTGTTATGCGAATCGTCAAATCCTAACCATTTCATGAAAAGCCTATTTCCGCGCTTCCTGAGCACCTTCTCTATAAGATAAACATCGGGATATTTAACGCCGTTGAGCTCCTGTTCATAGAAACCGCCTTCGATGGGGTGATCCTGATAGTCTTTGAGTTTATACGTCACCGGATCGGTATTTTTAACTTCACTTATCGTAAAAATTTCCGTCGTCCAATTAGGTGTATTGCCTTTCTCGAAAACGTGTTTAATTTTATTTACTCGCACCTTATCTCCTACTTTAAACTTCGATCGTTTAAGAATAGATTTAGTCTTAAAATTGCCGAACACCCGATTCAGTAATATCTTCTCATTCTTAGCGGTAACATCTGCGGGCCTCATACCAATGGTTCGGTGTCTACTGTTATTGTAAGAGGATACCAAGCCCGATAAAAGATCCAACCACCGATGATTACCCCGTAGGCTGGACTGCATCCACATTTTACTTTTTAGAGTCCGATTAAATCGTTCGCAGATCGATGCCGTCGAGTACAGCGTGATACCATGTTTTCGCATCAGATCTTGGAATTCGAAATTGTAAAATTCTCGACCTCTATCAACGTGTAATTTCTTAGGGGTCCGACCCTGCACCAGTATAGATTTCATAGCCGCCGTCACATCTTTAGCGTTCTTACTCCTCGACGCCACGGTCCAAGCAAATTTTGAAAATATGTCAATAACGGTGAGCAGATACTTGTAGCCATGGTTCTGTCTCGCATAGGCTGACATGTCAACGAGATCGGCTTGCCAGGTCTCGTCCAATCCACGGATATCAACGCGTCTGCGTCGATAATTTCATCTAGCAGGTTTATGCAGTCCCTTCACCACGTCTAACTTTTTTCCATCCATTTTCCAATACATTTAGTCTAGCGTCCAGTTGGGAAATGATCTCCGCGTTACGGATCGCCAGGTCTTGTAACGATCCGATGCCAACTCGCAATCCCGTCAACGCTTCTCTCACGGTAGAATCCAGACCTTGAATCATTACGTTGCTCCTATCGATATCGCTACGCATCCCTGTGATCGTATGGAATACGGTAGCGATTTCCTGCTTCACAACAGTTTTCATGATATTTAATGTCACGGCATCGTTTTGATCCTTGGGAGTGGCGACGTTGCACAGCCTCTTGTTATCTATATCGTACTGTCCATCAGCGGTAATCTTGAAGCCGACTCCGGGAATACCACGGTTATTCATAATCGGGGTTCTGCTGCTCAGCTGACGTCCAAACACGTCGACGCTCATTTTTGGAGTGACGATCGCGATCGTTTCGATGAATTAATAAACGATACCCGCCTCACGCAATTCCTCGAGAATCGACACGATTTTGTTCGAGTGACTGGGGTTACCAGCCTCCTGAGACGCGAGAAGAAGACGAAGACCATCCATCAATTCGTTGGGATCGTCCCAGTACACGTAATCCATTCGCCCGTTCTTTGCAGCGATCATATACCGAGGTGGTACGATGCCTTCACCCGTTATCGAGGATTTATCGATCAGTTTTGCGATAATGTTTCGAAATTTTGCTCTCGCGAACGGCACGGTGCGGAGTATAGTATTTTTTGTACGCATTCGTTGCTACGATAATTTTTCGATAATTCTCTAAGTCATCCTGGGTGATGTCAGTCTCATCGGGTACTTTCTTAAATAAAAGTTCCATCAATCCGACTGTTCATAAATAACTCATCATCATCCACCGTATCGAACAAGAAATTGTAATAAATTTCACGTACATTTCATGGACATTTCGCATCGAATATTATACTTGCCGAAAGCTCAATGTCAATTTTTCTTCAGACTTTTCATTGGAAAACATAATACGGTAGAATGACTCATTTATTTGAAATTTGTAGTGCAATATACCTGAATTGGACGACATGGCAACTTCCAAGGGCATGATCGGAGGTGACAAGGAAAGCGATGAACTACTGGATATGTCCGAAAAAAGTGTTTGGTTGGCATGGTACCGCGATATCGGTAAAGAAGCAGAGTCTGCGTTAGAAGAAGTTGCAGATCGGGACAATGCCCATTTCTTTCCTGAACTCATAAAAAGGTTATCCAGAGACATTCCACGATTACCGATGTGGTCTAACATATGTCTGGACAAGTTCGGATATGGACGCGTTCCAGCTTCTAGTGCTGCAGTCGAAGGGGAATTTAATAAACTTAAAAATGGTTTGTTAAAAGACGTGACAACCCCAATGAGACCAGACGTGTTTGTTTCGCTACACGTCGATTAGATAAACGGAAAAATGAAGCTGGTTAATGCAACGTGCAAGGATAGCACCGTAGTACAAACTGCAGAGACGTATCAACATGTCGAACAATCAGGCAAAACTGAGCAGCACGAATCGAGCCAATGTCTTGCGTGCCTAAATAATGATAATCCATCTGGTGGGCATGTCTGTGAAATTTGTCATATTCCCGTACATGCTCTTCATTTGTGCTCGGTTTCATTAGAAAGAGCCGATGAAGGGTACGGACAATGCCGGATTTGCGTAACATGCAGGAAGACCCAAAGCACGTCTAACATTTTGGCAGCCAGAGAGGTCGAAGATTGGCGAGCTTTGGCGAGCACACCGAAAAGTGGAAGAAAATCGCGCTATCATGGAGAAAGCACCCACAAAATAAACGATATGTTGACTTTACGTCATCATAAGAAACTGCCCATATTAAAAAACGCCAGCTCCATGTCCCTTCGGACTGTCAAAATCGGACCACAAAAGATATCGCTGACCAATACCTGTGCTTTTGACAGCATCTTTCAAATTGTCCTTGCCGCAATTTGTGACAGACACACTTTTAAGGAAAATTTGAGATTCCTTTTCGTTATTCTAACATTTTTTTGGTTTATCAAAAAATTAATTAAGATGTAAAAAATTGTTAGCATATGATTTCAAAGCAACTAATTTTTACTAAAAGTTTATAGCAAATTCTATTACATTGAATAAAATTTCATAAACGTAAATACATTTTTTTAAGGGGATGTGAAAGGCGTCTCTGAGGGGTCAAATCGTTTATAAAAGTTTTCTCAGCCGACCTGCTCAAGTATGCGAAAATCGTCAAGATACCACATTTTCGCGGAGTCTTAATGTGGAACGCTATGCCGAAGAATGGACCGTACAGATATGAATCGGCGTTAGTCAATCTCGACGGCGAAGATGGTCCCGCAACTAATTGGATCGCATATAAGAAGACGAACGATCGAGTCGTTTATTTCGATAGTTTCGGTAATCTTCGACCGCCATTATATCTCGTGAGATATCTCGGTGTTGGTAGTGTAGAGTACAACTACGACCGATGTCAGAAATATGATACTTTCGAATGCGGACACTTGTGTCTAAAGTTTCTTTGCGGGCAACTAAATCGTAGGAATAAGTACAGTTTATATAAACATAGTGCATAGTTTCATGACGTCAGTCCATCGATCGCAATCATGGAAGATTCATTTACGCTGACTTTATCGGGTACCTCCTCCGTACTCGAAACTCAATATTTTCCTCCCATCGAACTTTCTCCGTATAAAAATTATGCTCTCGGTCTCATCGAGCTGTTAACTTTCAATTCAATTCCTAACATGGATACCGGTCACAATAAGTTTTACATCGGGGATGAAATTATCGCTATACCCACTGGAAGCTACGAGATAGAGGATATCGAGAACTACGTACAGAGCGCATTAAAGGATAAGAATATTATTGTTAACATTAGACCTAACAATAATACGTTATGCAGCGAAGTTAAGTGTAACCGTGACGTCAATTTTCTACCCAACGATTCCATAGGTCATCTATTGGGCTTCACTCCACGCGTTCTGAAAGCCAATATATTGCATACGACCGATGTACCCGTAACCAATCTCAAAGTAAACGCTTTGCGAGTTGAATGTAATATTACCGCGGGGGCCTACATCAACGAACGCAAGGTGCATACCATACACGAATTCTTCCCGGTCGTACCACCGGGATATAAGATCATAGAGGTGCCATCGCACGTCATTTACCTACCGATCGCGACCAAGACCATAGATCATCTCCAGATTCGAATAGTCGTCAGGACGGAGACTTGGTGAATTTTCAAGGGGAGGTCATAACGATAAGACTACACGTTAAATCTATGCCATACTGGGAATCGTTTACAATAGAAAGATCGATAGCGGCTATAATAGGAAACCGATATGCCGAAAAGAAACCAGTCATCGACCACTTCTCAAAGCGTTAACACGTCAAAACCTATTGTTCCTGATAAGCCTGGGGCTCAAGGTTGTCGGAAGAGGAAAGTAAAACGTTCTTTCTGCTGTTGCATCGTTTCCATATGGTGCATACCATGGAGGAAGAAACGTTGAACATTCGGATGCCCGTCATCTTCGACGAGTCCATAGCGCACTGCGAGACGCCTGCGCACCAACCTTACGCCTCGTCAACGTTCAACAACAACGACGAGATTCGAATCTCCGTTCAACACCAAGAGCTGTTCTTACTACCAAGCAGAAGTTCGTTACATGTATACGGGAAGCTGGTTCAGAAAGATGGGTCTACGGTGACTGCTAGTACGGTTCTGGTCAATAACGCCATCTGTCATCTCTTCGAGGAAATTCGCTATGAAATGAACTCCATCGAGATCGATCGAAACAAGAACGTTGATCTCACGAGTCTCATGAAGGGCTACCTTTCCCTAACACGCGGTGAACGCGCATTGATGGAAAACGCCGGTTGGTTCACCGAGCAAACGAAATTGACCGATGCAGCCGGTTACTTTGACGTATCCATACCGCTGAGCATGATACTGGGATTCGCGGAGGATTATCGGAAGATCGTCGTCAACGCTAAACACGAATTGATTCTGACGAGGGCCAAGAGCGACGCCAATGCGATCGTGCAAACTGCTACGGAGGAATACAAAGTCGTAATTCAGAAGTTGGAGTGGCTGATACCGTACGTGAGAGTCTCGGATCGACGAAAGATAGAATTGTTGAAGTTCATCGAGAAAGATGCACCCATATCCATGAGCTTTCGTACCTGGGAGTTGTACGAGTATCCTCTTCTCCCCACCACTTCGAAACACGTGTGGACCGTCAAGCGTCGACACAGTTGGAAAAACCTCGATACGTCGTCCTGGGTTTCCAGACGAACAGAATTAATAAGAACGACAAGAACGCAAGTCACTTCGATCACTGTAACGTCAGAGACGTTAAACTCTTTTTGAATTCACAATGTTACCCTTATGGAAGTTTGAACCTTGACATTGCTCGCAATCAGTTTGCTCTACTGTATGAGATGTACGCAAACTTTCAAGCGTCGTATTACGGTAAAGACCCTGAGCCGCTGTTAAAGAGAAATGAATTTTTGGAGCATGCACCTCTGATAGTCATCGATTGCTCGAAACAAAACGAGTCCCTCAAGTTCGGACCGATTATCTTACTTGCATGCGTTCTCTGTTCCGTCGCTTAGATCCCCCATGGACTGAGATCGATCAAATTAATTACGCCCATCGAAACCTAATTCCTCGGTTACACCTTTTGGTTCGTCGCGACGACGCGTTAGATTTGGACGCGTTAGAAAATCTCGCTGTTCGCGCGGAGCGGAGTTATCTGTCGGCACGCAATTACGTGCCCCCTCCGCCCCCGGAATGCTCTTTGTGTCCCGACTTTGCATACCGCACGCCGCAACCTTCTAGATCGCGAAGAACTCCTGCCGCCTTATTGTCTATGGAGTTCGACCCCGTTCCTCCTCGCGAAGAGGAATTATTATGTCCGATCGCTTCTCGAGATACACCTCGGGATCAAAATCGAGCGAACTTTAATTCGAATCCCAGAAAAGGGCAAAATGGACGCGTTTCCGCCGCAGAACCTCGCGCGCGGCCTCCGGCTGAACCGCGACCTTCAACCTCGCGTATCGCGGACCCTTCGGTCCCTCCTACGCCTACCGCTTCGAATCCGAGCTCCCACCCCACCTCGCATAACCCTTTCCGAGCAAACTGCTGGAATTGTGGAGAACCAGGACACCGTTTTAGCACCTGTAAGCAACCGCGAAAATATTTCTGCTTTGGCTGCGGTAAAGAAGGCGTGGTACGTAACAAATGTCCGTCGTGTTCGGAAAACCCTTAGAGGAGAAGTCAGATCGGGCTGTACCATCTCCCATATTATCTAACGAGACTCAAAACCCGGTCCGTGCTGCAACTTCGGCATCCTCTATTGACCCATCCGGTATTCCGCGTAAAGCTTTAATTGTCTATGTTCGACTTCAAGGACACGTTATCCCCGGTTTAGTGGATTCAGGATCTTCACGAACTTTCTTTGGACCCACCGTTTTGCCTTAGTTCATTCGTTAAATATTCCAATTTCTTCAAATTCCCTTTGTCGAGTAATGGTGGCCACAGGTCACGTAGAAGACGTTAGGCAAGAAATTTTTATCGACATCAAGATCGAAAATCGTAGTCAGAAGAGGAGTGTTCACTTGTTGCCATCCTTGTCTGTACCATGCGTCTTAGATTTAGATTTTCTGCACGCGTTTAAGATTTTTGTTAACTTTGATCGGCTAACATGGAGTTTTGCTTCCAACCCTTTCGTCAGCTATCTATTTCGAGACCATCCCACTCTCGTCGAAGAATTGTCTTGTGGAATCAGCGATCTAACCGATTCGGAGAAAAATCGTTTAGAAAGTTTCCTTCAAACCGAACTCCCATTCGCCCCTAATAAGCCCGGTATCACCGCCTTGACCGAGCACCGCATAGACGTGGGAGGTCACCTCCCAATTAAACAGCGCTATTACCCAGTTAACGAAAAGGTTCAAGCTGCTATTTACGCGGAAGTAGATAGAATGCTCCGTGATGATATTATTGAACCCTCTCACAGCGCGTGGTCAACCCCTATTGTCATGGTAAAGGAGCCGAATGGAACTTATCGTTTGTGTCTTGATTTTCGACGAGTTAACAGTGTGACTAAACGTGATGCTTACCCTTTGCCTTATATGAGCCACATCCTAGATAAATTACGTAGCGCTCGATACATTTCCACGTTAGATCTCAGTCAAGCATATTTCCAGATCCCCCTCGCAGAGGATAGTCGAGAGGTCACGGCCTTTACCGTTCCTAGCCGCGGTCTCGTTCACTTTAAAAGGATGCCTTACGGCCTTACAAATGCTCCGGCTACTTTTCAGCGCTTACTCGATCGCTTGATAGGTCCGGAAATGGAACTCTTTGCTTTCGCTTATCTAGATGATATTATCATCGTAACTGCCACCTTTGACGAGCATTTGAACCAACTTAAACGTGTTTTAGATAGGATTAAATCAGCAGGCTTGACTATTAATCGCGATAAGTCAGAATTTTGTCGATCCCAGGTCAGATATTTAGGTTTTCTAGTTAACCGCGACGGATTGCAAGTCGATCCGGAAAAGATTCGACCTGTTCTTGAATATCCCGCGCCTACCACCATCCCGCAGCTTCGTCATTTTCTCGGAATGGCTTCTTGGTATAGGAGATTTATTCCCAATTTCGCCACTGTAGCAGAACCTTTGACTCGACTTCTTAAGAAAAACCAGAAATGGACTTGGAGCGATGAACAGATGACCGCCTTCGCCACTCTTCGCGATCGCCTCATCGCCTCTCCCACATTGTCTTGTCCCGATTTTTCGCTCACCTTCCACCTTCAAACGGATGCTAGTTCGGTTGGATTAGGTGCAGTATTGTCTCAAACCAGAGAAGAAATCGAGCACGTTATCGCCTATGCGAGTCGAAGTCTGATACCACCCGAGAAAAATTATACCGTGACGGAACAAGAGTGTTTAGCTGTTGTATGGGCAATTAGAAAATTCCGACCGTATCTTGAAGGATATCCTTTCAAAGTCATCACTGACCATAATTCTCTTCGTTGGCTACATAACCTGAAGGATCCGACCGGCCGTTTAGCCAGATGGTCACTCGAACTAGCGGAATATGATTTCGAAATTCTCTATCGAAAAGGCGCGTTAAACCACGTTCCTGACGCATTATCTCGCTTACCTGAACAATTACCGGATCCAAATTTCGAACAACTTTCTTAACCCTTAGTCGACCCATTGTCTGAACCAACCTCGGAACTATTGTCTGAAGAAACTCCCGATTGTCTCACTGCCCATGTCGATACCCCTAACTCCTGGTATCTTCGAAAATTCGAAGCTGTTTCTCAACACCCGGAGAATTTTCCTGATTGGAAAATAGACGAAGATCAATTATTCCATCATCGTCCTGATCTAGTGAAATCCGTTGACTTGCCCGACCTTAACGCATGGAAACGCGTATTACCCTTAGAAGAGCGGAAACAGGTCCTCTATGACTCCCACGACACTCCCCAATCCGGTCACTTAGGCGTCGAAAAGACTTACAAACGTCTCGCGACTTACTATTATTGGCCTGGCATCTACAAAGATGTGGTCAAGTACGTCCATCGCTGTGACACTTGCCAGCGATGCAAAGTAGAGCAAGCTGCCCCTACCGGATTTATGGGACACCGTGTAATCGAGCAACCGTGGACCGTAGTAGCTGCTGATATAATGGGTCCCTTACCCCGAAGCAAGTCCGGATACTTGTATCTTTTAGTCCTCCAGGATACATTCACTAAATGGGTTGAATGTGTACCATTACGAAAGGCCAACGGGAAAGTTATCTGTCAAGCTATCCGCGACTGTATATTGTCTAGATGGGGAACGCCGGAAATTCTACTAACCGACAACGGAACTGAATTCGTTAACAAGGATTTGCAAGCTTTGTCTAAAGAAACGGACATGAAACAAATCACTACTCCCCCTTACCATCCCCAAGCTAACCCTGTTGAGAGGATTAACAGAGTTCTGAAGACTATGATAGTTGCTTTTCTCGAGCAGGATCATACCGAGTGGGTCCTTCATATTTCCGAATTTCGGTTCGCATATAATACAGCGTATCACACTGCCATTCAAGCGACCCCTGCCTTTTTGAATTCGGGCCGCGAACTTCGACCTACCGTAGCCAACATTAGTAGGCCCGACTCAGACGTGGAAATCGAGGCTCAGCATCCTAAAGAATGGGAGGAATGAATGAAATCCTTGAGACACTGGCGTGAGCGTATTGTGCAGGACTTAGAGGACGCGTATCAAAAGCAATCCCAATATTATAATGCCCACCGACGCCCTAGCAATTTCAAAGTAGGCGATTTAGTTTTGAAAAAGCAATATGTTCTTTCTTCAGCCGCACATAAAATAGCCGCTAAGTTAATGCCTCGCTTTCATGGACCATTTAAATTAATAAAGAAACTTTCAGATGTAGTGTATGAAATAAGTACTCTGGCAGGCGAACCTGCAGGGCGGGTTCACGTGGAAAATAAATAAATAAATACATATTGTGACGAGAATGTTCGAGCGATCGAGCGAGAGTCGACACGACTCTCCTCGGTCGCTCTGTTTACATTTGGGGGTCACTGGCGCCAACGGTTGGCGCCGTCCGCACCCCGCGCGTATCGTTTTCGAGGGGGCCCTCGCTGGAATTCGGCCGGCGGGACCCTTCTTCGTTCGTCGACCGTGGACCAAGGCGGAACTCGGTAGTCGAGATTTTTCCCCTCGCCACCTTTGTCGTGACTAGAGTTGTTCTCGTATTTCTCGTTCGCGAGTATTCGATCGCGGGTGCCTCGACCGAGGATTCCGTGCTACCTCGATCGAGGAGTTCGGCCGCCCCGTCATCCGGAGGATCCGGACCCGGAGTATTAATAAAGGACCACATAGAAAAGTAAAGTAAGTGTACTTTATTAATCGCCCCCTACCCCGTTCGGCCCCCCCCTCCGAGACGCGAGCACGCTCGGGCGCGTGTGTTTTCCGAACCCGGCCCCTCTGACCGGCGTTTAGCCAGCCGAGGCTCGGCCCCGGAGAAGCGACCCCGAACGGCGTCCCCGCGAGAACGCCTGGCGCCCACGAAAATCGCCCCTCGGACGCCCGAACCGTTTGCATCGCGGCTCCTGCCCCCGACACCGCGTTACAATATCTATATCTGCACATGAACAACAAATAAATACATATATATATTGTATCGGGTCAAGCGGCCAACACGAGCCGCTGTACGTTAGGACACCAATTCGGCGCTATTCGAGCATGCGCAGTAAGATTTGCAAGTAGGGAGGCCCAGGGAGAGGGAAGCGCCGCTCGCGAGCGCGGAGCATCGCCAGAGAGCGCTCTTAGTCTGGGATATCTATAGGATAACGATCAACGGGTTTGCTCTCTTAAATTAGAACTTCGGAATCGAACACGTCGCGTAAACACATTCCCCGGAATTTTGAGTCTCAACCGGAAACGCACGAGCGTATTGAATCCAGATTCGTTTTGGAGTTTTTGAAAATCGCGGAAAGAATCACATCGTTAAGAAACTGTTCGTCCCTCGGTGACCGAACATTGCCGCCCACGATCCGAGCCTGACAGTTCTCTGAACAAGAAGTCGTTCTTTAGAG